AGTAGATACCGGAGTCTCCACTACTGGCTCTGTTGTTGTTTTTGTTGGTGTTGTAGTCGTTGATGCCCTTTCCTGCGTGAGAACTCCAGTAACGGCAGAAGAGGCAAAAGTCAAGAGAAAGAATAAACACATAATTAAAAAGAACTCATGGTTTTGCCGTTCTTGTCGTCGTGGTGGAGGTGCATCGTCGTGGTGCCGCCGTCGTTGTGTTTCTCGTTGGCGAGATATTTGCAGCATCAAAAGAAGAGACGGTAGAGAACGCCAATAAGAAAAAAAAAAAAAAGAAAAAAAAAAAAGAAGGGTTTGCTATGAACCTGTAAAGGACCCTTTATATTTCTTGCAGTACTGCTTGATAAAAGAAAGAAAAAAGAAAAAAGAAAAAAGAAAAAGAAGAATATCGAGAGCAACAATAATAACAAGAATAACAGATTGCAGGAGAAATAGATATATAGGTGTCTCACAGAGAGACTCTTCTATCCCTTACTTATAATAGTACGACCTATGGAAGTATTTACTCGAGATGACTTAACCTTCTTCATTTCCATTCAGTTTTGGTTTTCAATTTCCTTCATATTTTTTTTTTCGCCTCTGTGTGTTTTCTCTCTTTTTTTTTTCATTCCCATTCTTCTTTCTTGTTTTGTTTTGTTTTGTTTTTCTCTTTATCTCTCCCTCTCACCTGAGAAGGAAAATAATGAGATTGAGAAAAAGAAAGAAAGAAAAGAATTGCACTCATTTACTCAAACAAGCACGTTAGAAATATGCCTCCAATGCTGCCGTATCCATATTGTCTGCCAGTGTACATGCAAGCGAGACACGGACCCTTCTTCCCTCACCGCCATTAACACTATTACTATTACTATTACCACTACCACTATTAACACTATTAACACCACTACAGGTAGAAGCAATATTGCCTGTCAACATATCCCGCACAATAGCACGAGGCAACGGAAGGCGAATTGCAATTTCACCAGAGGTAAGCATTGCCGTCTCACTGCTCTCAACAAATCCGAAACATGAGATGGCAAACCCGGTCGGCATGTCCATTAAGCAATAACGATTCCCTACCGTTTTTTCCACCTGAAGGTTTTTATTATGTGTTGAATGTATCGATTCTTTCTGTTTTTGTAGTGGTGTTCGTTTCGTTTCAGAAGCAACGGCGGCAGCAGCATCAGGTGTTGAGGAAGGTTCAATAGAAAAAGAAAGCGCCACTACACTATGCTCTAGTGCTGCACACATGACTTCATCAGTAATATCACGAGCATCAGAGATATCCGTAAACACAATCGCCTCAAACTGTTTCAAGGAGCCTTTAAATAAAGTAGTGGAGTCTCCAACATCTAAGAGATCCATTTTAGATCTTTTATCCTTTTGTGATTCGTAGTAATTAAAGAGTGGAGCCAAATATTGCTGCCACAAACTACGGCGAATAGCAGATGCTTTAGGTTGCATTTCACGTCGCAGTAATCCCTCATCCCGGTTTACTTGTATAGTATGCACAGTTCCACACCAGTTGGTTTTTTCAGTTGCAGAGGAATTATTCTGTTTACCGGCAGTTGTACATCTTCGTGGATGTGGAAGTCTTCCCATAATTCGCTCTATTGTTTCTCCCGTAGATGATGATGATAATAATAATGAGGATGATGATGAAACCAAACGCCGTACATGAAATCGCTTGTGTAATACCTCTGAGTTTAATCCTCTTTCAGGATCCATGAGGGATTCACTTTCACGTGCCCATCGCACTTCACGTTCCTTCACAAGATGAATGATGTGTTTTGGCTCTAGACGGCGAATCACTTCTACAGTCATACGACGTCCAGTGCTGAGTACCCAACCGTGTGTATTCACCACCACGGGATATCGTCGTTGTACCAATTCCACAAGAGCACACAACTGCTCTAATGCAATGGCAGTAGCAACAGGGCAACGGAGACGTGAGCCGCCAAGATAGAAACTCTTTACAAGATCTACACTCTCAGAATCGTGTGGACGAAGTAGTGGCTTTCGCACACCGTATAGAGAGAGTACACCTGGTGGTGAGAACTCTGGCTGTCCAAGATCAAGATCCAGCCAGTAACAAACACCATGCTGGGAGAGTAAACCATTAGTGAGAAATCGGGCCAGTGTGGACTTCCCTATACCCTGTGAACCCAACACCACCACTGCCCCAGGGCCTTGTTTAAGAATAGCAGGAATAACATTTGGTAAAAGAGCCGTATCAATTTCAGTTTCATGATGACGAGCTAAAAACCGTGGGACATCCATAAAGGCATCTCCTGACATTCCTACTACTTTCTTCTGCGATTTACCTTTTCCTTTTCCCTTAAAATAACGTCGTCGTGTTGGGGGTAATCCGCATGGATCGTACGGCTGGACAATTAATATAATGTTTGGCATTTGACTCGCAAGTCGTCCACGCCATGATGCAACCGTTGATTCCACCCAATCCCAATCAACACTACCAAACATCTCCACTTCATCAAGATCATCATCATCCATACTATTATTATTATTATTGTTATTATTGGCAATGTTATTATTATGTTTGTTACCATTGCTATTACCCTTGTTGGTATTGTCATTCCTCTTTATCTCATCATCTGTTGTGTTATGAATAAAATCTTGCTGTAGAGGAGGCATGATGGTAATGGGTCCATCATCCTGTTCAAAATATCTTCGAATGGGAACTGATTTCACATCTATGCATTTATTTCTAAGCCGCCGTACTGGTGTTAGAACAATACGTTGTGTCTCACTAAACAGTAGAACATGTTTCTTACCCAAAAAAAAACCACCAACAGCGATCTCACCAATTCCAAATCCCACAACGCAGCATGGACCTTGTATAGTGATGGGTCCACTAAGGCAGAGTAGTGTGTGATGGCAGGGATTCACACTATCACGACCAATGTGCATTTCAAAGAACATTGAACCATAACGATAGCGACGATCTCTCGTCATAGGATTAACAGAAATAGAGGAAGTACCGATCTCAACATTGTCTGAAGTATTCTTCTTCCCTTTCTGCTCTTGTTGATCTTGTTGTTGTTGTTGTTGTTGACGGCGACGTTCAAAGAGACCAAATCCAACCGCTCCAGCACCATTACACCTATTAGCATCAGCATCATTATCATTATCATCACCTTTTTCTTCTTCTTCTTCCTCTTCCTCTTCTTCTTCCTCCTCCTCTTCTTCAATCATTTCCTCTTCTTCTTCTTCCTCTTCTTCCATAAGAGATGCACTAGCAGAGTCGAGTTCATCACTTTCGTAACCAGCAAAGTGACGATCAATCTCTCTCCGTCGTTTCGCCGCCCGCGCATCGTCGTTGTTCTTTTCCTCATCCCCATCATCATCACAACAAGAACCCGCATCTGATGATAACGATGAAGAAGAAGAATCCACTGCGGCAGATAATCCCGTGCCAAAGTTAATAATCCCATCACCTTCGTTAGCGAAGAATACCGATCTTTGTGGGGACTTGCGTCGCTGTGATTTTTGCTCCATTTGATGTCTGGGCAATCGACGTACTGAAACTGTTGGCTTTAGAGAATTCTCTGTTTCTTCATTCTCTCGCATTGCACGGCGCTCAGCGGCGGCAAGTTTGCGTGAGCGGATCACACTAGCCACTTCACTTACCTCTTTATCCACCTTATTCTCTTTTCTAACCTCATTTCCAGTATTATTTTCTTCCGTACCTGTCCTAGTTTTACCGAGACGAGCCAACACCTCATTAGGTAACTTGAACCGTTTAAGCGGAGACGCCATATCATCACTACCACTATTATTATTATTATTATTATTATTATTATTATTATTATTCATAGAGGGTATTGGATCCACGAAGGATGGTGTCCATGTGCTGGCCGGCAGTCCAGTCCCCGTTGTAATGTTTTCCTCCACACTCGCGGGGATTTCTGTGGTATCGGTGGTAGATAAGAGTCGCTTTGTCCTCCGCATGGCCGCTGAAAAATATAAAAAGAAAAGAAAAGAAAAGAAAAAAGATAATTTATACAAATATATTTTTTATTTGCTGCTTATTAGTGTTCATTGTTAGAAAAACGGGGGTCTTCAATTACCCCAACAGTTGACATCCAAAACGTCCTTTTCTCTTTTTTTTTTTTTCTCTTGTTGCAGTTATGCACTCTCTGAACTATCATTTTCGTTCTTACTCCGTTATTACCTTATCAGCGAAACGTTGTCATCTCAGAAGAAAAAAAAGAGAAAGAAAAATATATATGCATAGAAGTGGAGCTCATTTCTTTTCATAATTCTTTTCACAGGCCATTTTTTTTTTCTTTTTTTTTTTTTTAATTCTTCTCCTCCTCTTCTTCTTCTCTATTTATTTCTTCTTCATCTTTGTAATGTTCCATTTCATCTGCGTTGGTATTTCTCAAAAATTGCTTAAGCGTCTCTTTCTCTTTTTCTTTTTTTTTCTTTTAAACGTAGCGCATACACACAAAGAATATATTAAAGTACGCGCACTATAGTTGCTTTACACGGGGATGTTTGTTTATTGAAGGTGGTAGAGAGGCGGTACACCACCATTACACTACTACAATTTCTTCTTCTACTACCCACTACTGCTGCTGCTGCTGCCGTTTGTCGCAATCATACCAAGGAGAAGAAGCAAATACAATAGATCCGTCCACTTCTGATCCCACAAACACACACACACACACATACTCTTTCTCTCTCTCTCACTTACACTCATTCTTCATTACTGCTTATGTATATATGTGCCTGTTGTTGTTGTTGTTTTTTTCTTCTTTTTTTTCGCTTCATCATCCTTCCCTTCATATATATATATATATATATATATATATATATATATATATATTTCTTCTATTGTTCCTCTGCGGCGACAAAGGTAACAGTCTTTCCTGTACTCCTTCTACCTGCTGTCTTTTTCTCTGCCTCTGCAATGGAGGCGTTCAACTCTGCTCGTGCCAACAACTGTCGCTTCTGTTCCTCCAATACTCGAATAAATGAATCTTGTTTTTTCTCTGACCGTGTATCACGGCGTAAACTACGAACAGTGAGTCGCTCTTGCATTTTCTTCTGTAATATCTTTGCTTGCGCAATGCGTTCACGAAGTGTAGACTGTGCAGCCTTTCCAGCAGACTTGGCGATCGCCATGGCCCGCTTCTGTTCTTCTTCAAATACTTTGCTTGGAGTCTTCTTTTGCTTATTTTGTTGTTGTTGTTGTTGTTGCAGTGTTCTACTCGTGTTTTCTTGTAAATTTCCTACAGTTGACTCCTTCCCGCGTGTTGTTGAGGGAGTTTCCTTTCTAGCAGTTTTCTTCGCAGGTTGTGTTCTATCATTCTTATCTTCCTCTTCTTCCTCATCGCCTTTACGTCTCTTTGTCTTTTCCTTTTTGTTGTTGGTATGGGATTTGTTCGGCTTTCCATCCTCTACAGTATCCCGAGCCTCCAGCATCTCATTATTACCATTATTATCATTATCATTATCATTACTCGTAGTAGATCCCTTCTTACCATCTTGCTTCTTTTTCTTCTTTTTCTCTTGAACATCCTGCGCATCTTCTTCTTCTTCTTCTTGCGCCTTTTTCTTCTCTGCGGTGGCTGCGGCTCTGATGGCTGCCTGTTCTCTTTCATTCTTTGCCAACAGTGAACGGCGACTACGCACCTTCAACTCACCATCAGCACCCATGCGGAATCGCAGGGTTTTCTGTTTCTGAATGGCATCCAACATTTTCGCCCGTTCCTCCTGCAGAGATGCGGGAATATCTCCTTTAATCGGCAGTACACATTTCAATACCCCCGTATCACACTGCAGTTCACACGTTGCCTGTTCTGCATCAATTCGCATTCCCTCTGGAATGGGCAGTTCTAGTCTGTACTTCTTTGTGTGTTTGCTTGTGTCCACTACAAACATCGTGTCGGTGGTTTCACTCACGTCCACATGAACGGCGGGGATGTGATGTAAAGTTACATCCAGAAGAATTTGTTTGTTCTTATGATGAACCTCCAATCGGTACGGCGGCTGTTCAAACTGTGGGCGAGAAGATGTGGGTGTTGAGGAGGAGGAAGAAGAAGAAGTTGCAGAAACTGTACGTTGTCGCTTTGCCCCTTTCACGGCCTTCTTTCCTCCAGCCGCATTATTATTATTATTCTTATTATTATTATTATTATTGGCCTGCGATTCTTGTGCTTGTGAAGGACTTTCACCAAACAACCGCTGCCGCATCTCTTGCACTTCACTAGGGAGAATAATCGCCCCTTTACGCCCACCAGACTTTGATCCCGCTGAAGATGACATTTCCCCTTTATTCTCTTCTCCATCCTTTTGTTGTTGTTGTTTCTGTTTCTGCTTGCGTTCTTTTGCGGCTGCCTCTTTTTGTGAGAGACGTGATTGTTTGGCAACCTTGCGGAGTTCTGCCGCCTCCTTCTTCATCTGTGTAGAAGAAGCCATATTGTTATTGTTTTGTTAGTGCCACAACTCTCAATACAACTTATTACTATTTTGAGTAAGAATAAAGAACAGGGGAATGTCTACTGTACGTATGTATGTATATATGTACTTTTTTTTTTTTTGTGTGTGTGTGCGGTGCCTGTGTGTGCCTCACGAGAAACTGAAATAAATTAAGAAAACAAAAAACAACAGAAAAAAAAAGAAGAGAAACAAACGAAAAGATACAAAAATGGAAGAAAAGAAAATAATAAAAAAAGAGAAGAAACAGAAAAAGAACAAAAAAGAAAAGAGAATAGCAGAAAGGATTCTGAGTGTTTGTGTTTTTTTTTCTTTTTGTTTTTTTTTTTTTTTTTTTTTTTTTTTTTTTTTTTGTTTTTGTTCTCCCATCCAAAAGAAAAAGGATGTTTCGCATAAATCTGTACATGTAAGGCATGCATGTATTGGAGATGGAAAAAGATGAAAGCAATCATGGTTAATGAAGAAGTGCATCTTTACATCGAGCAATTGCTCAAAGTATAAAGAGAAGTAACCACAGTACAAGCAAACAAACATAGAAACAATATAAAAAAAAAGAAAAAGAAAAATGTACATTGAAAGTCAGAAACATAGAATGCAATTAATAATAATAATAA